GCGGGGATGGCGGCCGGCTCGTTGCTGGAGGCCGGCCTTGCCCCGGGTGCTCTTCTACCCGACGCTGCTGTACACGGTGGTGCGCGGCACCGTGCCGGGCCGGGCGCGCCGCGACTGGTACAACCGCATCGACCGCACGGTGCTGCTGGGCGCGCTGCCGCTGCGGAGCATGACGCGCCGGCTGGTGGAGGACGAGGACGTGCGCGGGGTGATCACCATGAACGAGGAGTACGAGACCCGATTCCTGTGCAACTCCGCCCAGGAGTGGAGGCAGGTAGGAGTCGAGCAGCTGCGACTCAGCACAATAGACATGACTGGAATCCCAACCTTGGCCAACCTGCAGAAAGGAGTTCAGTTTGCTCTCAAGTACCAGGCCCTGGGCCGGAGCGTCTACGTGCATTGTAAGGCCGGGCGCTCCCGAAGCGCCACTATGGTGGCCGCGTATCTGATCCAGGTGCACAACTGGAGCCCGGAGGAGGCTGTACGAGCCATCGCCAAGATCCGGCCGCACATCCGTATCAGACCTGGCCAATTTGAAATCCTCAAGGAGTTCCACAAGGAGATTACTGCAGAGGCAGCAAAGAAGGAAGCTGTATCACCCGTCACAGACATGAAGCATGTGGACTAGAAAGAACTCAAGACAACCAACCCTGCTGGCAATAGAACGCAAACGCTTAACAGGACCAATGGGGCTTACGCCCAGGCAACATAACGGAAGTGTGCTAAGTAAGGGGTCATTTTTCTCCCTTTGTCATGGTTTCGGTTTCCTGAAATAACACTGTTGTATGGCTAGGGGGAAAAAAATGCATCAATGGCCCTAACTGGTTTGGCTTAGTGGATAGAGTGTTGGCCTGCGAACTGAAGGGTCCAAGGTTCTATTCCGGTAAGGGCATGTACCTTGGTTGCGGGCACAACCCCAGTAGGGGGTGTGCAGGAGGCAGCTCATCGATGTTTCTAACTCTCTATCCCTCTCCCTTGCTCTCTGTAAAAAATCAATAAAATATATATATTTTAAAAATGCATCAATGGCTAAGGGGGGATGTGTTGTAGAATTAAAGGTGGTTGTTAAGACTTTAGCATCTTACTCCACCTTCCTCACTGGTGTGCCCTGCCGTCGTCACCTTAGGTGACCTCAGGGTATACCTGGAAAATTATGCTAGCGGCAGGCTTCTACATACCTTCCGTCCTCCCCAGCCACACACTCCCATACTCACCCAAAATTACTTCTCTCCAGAATCACTAATTGCAGCATTCTTGACCTTGGCCTTCTGTCCTCCCAGCCAACTGGTTCCCCCTTCTCTTTGGCTGTGTTGTGACCTCATCAGCCACACCAGGACGCTGACCTGTTTCCTTTCTTCCAATCCATCAGCCTTCTCCTTTTTCTCACTTTATTCCTAATCCAATTTAAATTTTATAACCCATAATTTTAATAACATGGTTGCTAATACCTATAAATTCCCTTGCCCCCCAACCCCTCCCGTTTGACACCTATGTGATAAAATCCCCACTTTGGAAAAACCCTATTTTCTATTTTCAATGTTCCACCAGCACCCAAAAGCAGCATTGCTGGCAGAAAAAAAAGTCACTGTGGGCAAATAAGGCTCCTATAAATGTACTGTAACCAGCAGCGAGACCTTGACAATGCCCAGCAAGCGCCCTGTGTCCACTAATACATGGAGAATATTGCAGGGATCAGAAAAATTCACCCAGACTCTGCTTCCCAACCGGGAGCAGAGAGCAGTGCTTCCCTTCCCAGTGCTGGTTCCTCCAGTGCTTGGGATCCTTTTCCTTCCTGCCTCCCGAGTACTTTTAACTTGCCATTATCCATTCTCTCTTCTGTTCAGCCGGGGTTCTTGCCTGTCAACATGCTCAAGTCCATCCCCTGGTAAAACCTCTCCTTTGGGCTCATGTTCTAACTCCTGCCTCACCAGCTACTGCCCCATTTTTCCCCTGGAAAAATGTTCTCCCCTCCCTCCTGAGTCTCTTCCCAATCTGTTTTCTGCCTGTCATCCCCCTAGAAGAGCTGTCTCTGAGGTCACTGACAACCTCCCCAGTCCAGTGGACATGACCATTTGCCTCTTGATACCACAACTCCTGGATTTCCTTTCATTCTCTAACATGTTCCTTTATGTCCTGCATCCCTTCCATACGCTTCTATCTGGTCATGAAATACTGGGTTTCATCAGTGTTCACACCCAGGCCCTCCTTTGTTGATGCTAAAATCCTAAGCCAGTGATGGCGAACCTATGACACGCGTGTCAGAGGTGACACGCGAACTCATTTTTTTTGTTGATTTTTCTTTGTTAAATGGCATTTAAATATATAAAATAAATATCAAAAATATAAGTCTTTGTTTTACTATAGTTGCAAATATCAAAAAATTTCTATATGTGACACGGCACCAGAGTTAAGTTAGGGTTTTTCAAAATGCTGACACGCCGAGCTCAAAAGGTTCGCCATCACTGTCCTAGGCAGTGTCATCCACCTCACTGGCCTGCTTTCTTGCTCCTTTTTCCTCTGAGCTCTAAATTTTGAAGTATCCCTGGGCTCAGGCCTGAATTCTGTTTTCTGTTCACGTTGCGCCCCCTCTTCCCCAGATGAGTTCAGTCAGCCCGGTGTTTTTAAATATAACACATGTCTCCTTCCTGCCTAAATTATATCTCCAACGCTGGACTTTCTGATCTCCTGTCTACCTAACTAACTGCTTATCTACTTCTAAGTCTAATGGAAAAGTCCCTCCACTTTCCCTGTCATCTACTTCCCCAATCTTTTCCACCTTAGTAAATGACACCACTGTTCACCCAACTGTCCAAATCCATAGCTTCTTCACATCGCTGATTTAGTCCATCACAGAGTCCTGTCAGTTCCGTACTGAACATATGTCCACATCTCACACCTCACCACAACCAATGTGTGAGTCCAATCACCCTACAGGCTCCCCTGGACCACTGCAGTAGCTTCCTAGCAGTCTACCATCTTTCCCTTAACCCCACCCCAGACTATTCTCTGTTCATGTCACTATCCTCCAATGGTTTCTTCTTACAATTAAAATCCAAACTCCATACCATGATCCATAAACCCCTCACAAATCCCACATGTGCTCTCATCCCCTCTGACTCCTGATCTCAGTCTTACAGTAGCCCGATTAGCCTTCCTTTTTCTTAATCCCACCAAGCTCATGTCTACCTCAAGCCATTATATTTATTTTTCCATTGCTTGGAATGCTCTTTCCTCTGCATCTTTGTCTAGTCACTGATGAAATGTGAGGTCTTACTTGAATATCCTATCAAAAATGGTTGTCACCTCCCCCATCCATACCCTAAACTATTCCATGCTCTTGGCCTGTATATTTTCTTCATAGAACTTACCACTTTCTAAAATTATCTTGCTTATTGGTATGTTTTTTTTAAATATATTTTTATTTATTTCAGAGAGGAAGGGAGAGGGAGAGAGAAAT